GTGTCTTAGAAGATATTAAACACACAACAAAGGTCTAATAGCTAGGTAATAAAAGAATGGACAGATCAGTGGACAGGTTACATTAGAAGTACAGCCATAGGTAATGTACATATTTAAACGTAGTAATGTCTGGTAAGGAGGCACCACAACTGAAGGGAGGAGGAATTTTCATGAGGGGCACTGAAATAACCGGTTAGTGATTTGGAACAAATCAATTTAGATTCTTAACTCTCACTAGATCGATTAAAGAATTAAGTGGGAGGAACCTAAGCTATAAGAAACTAAGGCCAAATTCTGATGAATATTATATCTGTATGAGAAATGCATTTGTAGGTGTAAGAATAATTGCAATAGTTCATTAACATAAAAATTTTAAACTTCTTCCCTGGCTGAGTGGCTCCGTTTGTTGGAGCATTGTCCTATACACCAAAAGGTCGCATTGCTTCCCAGTCAGGGCACATACCTAGGTTGTGGGTTCAATCCCAGGTCAGGGCACACATGAGAGGCAACTGATCTATGTTTCTCTCTCACATCAGATGTTTCTCTCTCTCCCTCTTTTTTCCTCTATTTCTAAAATCAATAAATATGTCATAGGGTGAGGATTAAATTTTTTTTAAACTTTTGAACATAAAAAAAAAGGCAAACAAAAAAATGAAAAAGTACAATTAGCTATAATTATGACTTTTGAAATACCATCTGTCTCCTCATTCCCACAGTGAGGGGAATGGGAATAGAGGTGAGGGCTTGCTTGATAGCTGCTTCAGTACGGAGTATAATAAAATACTTTGTGCCTACCAACGAGGGCTTTGAAAATTCATTGCTTAGAGCTCATTTCTGCAAAATGTGCAAAATAATAACAGATACCATTTATTGAGCACTTACTATGTGGTAAGTATTCTGTAGACACTGAGTCATATGCTCATTAGATGGGTATCATTATCCAATCTGGCAACAAGCTAGGAAGATACATGCACAGCTGAGCTGCATGATGAATCATAAATGTCAGGTAAATTCAACATTAAACTTCTAAGGCTGATCACTGGCCCTGGTTCCTTAGTTTGGCTTGGATATTAAGACTGTATTGCCATCCAATTGTAATACCTAATGAGCTCTACTCCCCACTTCCCTAAGAAGAAAAATATAAGTGACCTCACAAAGTCGACCCAGGCCCAAATCACAGTCAATAGATATTTTTTAAGAGGCCCATTCTGGGATTTTAATTTAAATTCAGCTTAAAGTCAGTGGGGGTTGATGATCTGCTAAAACCGATTATAAATCTGGTGAGGTAGAATGTTCATCACGATGCTGGAAGAGGTGACAGTAGGTCCTGCCACAATGCTACAGAGGGTGCAGGGTTAGGATACACAGTGCCATGTACATGAAGAAGTATGACCAAATTACTTTTTGCTGTGGCTGCTAAACTAACTACTAGTGTCAAAATTCTGTCATCTGTGGATAAGATCCAAGGAACATTAAGGGTGGTAAAAAAAAAAGTTTAATCAGACAAGGAAATGTGATTATATCAGTCAAAAGAGAACCCGGTAATTTTAAAGACCATCTGTTGTTTCAGAGTAGACCCTATAAACAGGAATAGAAGGCTGATTTCAGAATACATAACTTACTTTCTAACAAGGTAAGATTCATTCATAGATGGTTCTACTGCTTGTGTGTATACAATTTTTCTATTTATTCAGAAGACAGTTTTGATCCTACTATTGAAACTCATACAGAAGAAATCGGCTAGAAATCAGGCCAGATTATTTGGAAAACCTACAGAGGAAAGCTCATTTTCTCTGTAAGCACACAGCTGGTGGTACTGCTCCCATTAACCCTAATGGGCAACTCAGATGGGGAGCCAGTGCAACCCAGGTGAGTATAGGGTGAAGCTGGGCTGACAGCAGATGTGGCTGAAGTTCAGACTGAATCCTCTTCGGGGTGTGATTGGTCTTTCTTCACAAAGCTGTCCCTCCTTCTTGAAACTACACAGAAAAGACCTGTGGGGCCATGTGAAACTCCCAGGTGACCTGAGGTGATTCAATTCTTCTTTACAGTACAAATTCCTTCTCCAACCTCACTTTCAGAGCAGATACAGACTTTTTCTTTTCTCAGTAATAGTACAACCTGTTAACGTGTCCTGACTACCTCAGTACCATTTTGAGAACGTTAGATACCATCAACAATGCCCTTGGAGCTCACAAACCTACTGCAGAGTAAAATGACTGCCTGGATTCTCTAAAAACAGGTCAGTGGTTCCCAACTGAATGCAGAGTGGTCTGGGACCTGTCCCACCTCCTAACCCTCCAGAGAGGGTAGTTCCAATTACAGCTTATAGTCAATAGTTTTCATTTTAGATGTACAGCACAGTGGCTAGACAATCATATGCTTTACAAAGCGACCCCCCTAATATTCAAGTACCCACCTGGCACCATGCAGTTATTACAATATTATTGACTATATTCCCTATGCTGTACTCTACACCCCCATGACTATTTTGTGATTATCAATTTGTACTTCTTAATCCCGTCACATTTTTCACCCAGCATCAGGGAACATTTCAGAGCCAGGCAAAGAGGATTGGCTTTGTAGTCAGCTCTGGATTCAAGACCCAGATGTGCCAATTAGAGTTGTGTGCTGGGATAAATTCCTTACCCTTGAATCAGGGATTAGTGCGGTCTGTACCACTGAGGAATGTTGTGAGGATTAAATGAGAGGCCATCTGGAAAGTGCTTATTCTGTTATGTGTCTCTCAGTAAACACACAGTGAACAGTTGTCATCATGCCCATCTTTGCCCCATCTGAAACCACAGAAGTTGGGTTTAGGTGCTGAGCTACTTATTCTGAGAAGTTTCACCTACCAGTAGTTCTGGAGAAAAACTCATGTTGAAATTTCTCATCGTAAATACTACCTCTTCCCTCCTTCCCCCCAGTTCACACAACAACAGTCCTTCATTTCAGTCTCTAGATTGACTTTTGCGTTCCAGTTACAGGTTGTCAACTAAAATCGAGATTGGGGGCAGGAGGTGGGAGGTGGTGAAGATCTTTGTAAATTCTAGGCCCAAGAGTGTCTGGATGCAAATGGCTATAACATCATGGACGTTCTGAACTGAGATCTAAATAGGAATCACTTCCCTCACCTCCCCTTTCACTACTTAGTCTTTAAGAGAACATGGCCAATATAGCCACTTTGAACCTGCTTTCTTGTTTATAAAAAGAGGTTAATACCTAATTAAGTGGCTGAAGGGATTAAATGAGAGAGTATTTATATCTAAAGTGCTTAGTACAGTAGCTGGCAAAGAGCAGAAGCTCAATTCATCACTATGGAATCCAATTTAAAAAAAAAATGCTAGGTAACTGCAGTCTTTTTTGATGCATTAATACTAGCAAGTTAAAACTGTAATCAAAAGATAAGCTCTCCAAACAAACATTGGTGAATATACATTCTGCTTAATAAGGTAAACATTTCAAAAGGCTTACGGAGCTGTGCTCACAGGAGCTGTTCGGACTTCCTACCTTCTTCATAAGAATTATGGTGCTAGCCAGACAAGATGCACAAGCTCATAATTAGTAATTTCTGTACTAAAAGAGCTGTCTCTAGGAAAGAGCGGCCAGGGGAGGAACCAACTTTTTGATAACCTGTAGAATATTACTATGACGTGGGTACTATTAACCCTCCTTTTAACAAAATGGGGAAACAGAACTAGGACAAAAGTGGGTGAAGGAGGCAATAGTTACCAGAGGCAGAATTTGATCACAGGTCTGAGGCTTCCCATCATTTTACCCACTTCTGTTGGCCCTCACTGTTCAGCTTCTCAGGTTTATTCAAGAGCATTCCTCCTAAATAGGGTTCTCAGGAAGACATTGTTGAACTAGAGAAGAACATTTACTGCCATTAGATGGGAATTAGGATTTTAGTCAGTTCTAAGAATTGTAAAATTTGGTCTTCCTCTCGCTTTCCCAGAGGTGATTTAAAAAACAACAACAAAAAGCCATAGCCACTTCATTACAGTGACTACTCAGTCCGCCTGCTTGAAACATTCCAGGTAGATTAAATTTTGAATTATGATTCATCTTCCCTTTCCTGTCCTGATGGAACACGAAGACTGAACCATTCTTGTCAATGAAAAGCTCGAGTTTCCACCCCGCAAATTCGCGCTGTGATGACAGTCTAATTGGCTGACGCGCAGGTGGGATTTCCTGTCGCCATTTTAAGGAAACACAAATCTCCTCCAAGGAAGTGCCCGGTCAATTAAAAAGGGCTGAAACAAAGGGTACGCAGAAGACAGAGAAACGGGCCCAGTCGTCCGGCCCCCTGCACCCCGCTCCCGCGCTCGCACTGCGCCCGGGTTCGGAGCGCCCCTGCTCCGTTAACCCCAGCGCGCCCGCCCCGCGGGGCCGAATCACGTGGGGTGTCCCGGCCGCGGCCCCGCGGGCCTCTTCGCGCCTAGGCAGGTGCGCGCTCCACGCCCAGCGAACGATTCCCGCCCTGTCACACCCAGTCCCCGAAACAAAGATCCGCAGCGCGCAACCAGGGCGCGCTGACGAGGTGTGCGGCTGCAGGTTCCGGAAGAGGGGAGGCCCCCTCCCACTGCGGCTCGGAGACAAAGGCTTTCTAAAGGTGCCCGTGCGCCCCGCTGCCCGCGCCGCTTCGGACCCCTTCCCGCCCATCTAGGCGATCTCGGCGCTGTCCCCGGAGAAAACACCCCGCTCCACCGCTGCCCGCAGCTCCAGGCGCTGCCGGCGGCTCTCGGGGCGGCGCGAGGGCCAGCGGCTCCCGCGGCCATCCTCGCTCCGCGCCCTTCCCACAATGCAACTCCCCTCCCTCCGAGGCCTGGCTGGACTCTGGCGTACCCCAAAACGTGCCTCCCCACAAGGGAACAGCTCTCCTTTCTTCCGCCCGCGCCCTCCTAGCCGCCCCGTTTCCATCCCCAAGGGTTCCCAGACTCCGGCCGCCGCGGCAGCCCGGTCCTGGGCTCGCTGCCGGACCCCAGGAGGGCGTGGGCAGGTGTCCAGGCTGCGCGCAGCCTCCGCTCCCGCCGCCGCCGTCAGTGTGCCCGGCACACGCACACCCCGCAACCCCTCCCTCACCCCTTCCCCGATGTTCAGCCTCCGCCAGCCGCGGTCGCTGCATCCTCAGCGAGCGGCGAAAAGGAGACAGCGGGCGCGGCCGCCAGCAGAGACACCATGTGACGGCGCTGCTCAGTGACACACAGCCTCGGTTAGAGAGCGGACGCGCGGTGGAGGAGGTGACTGCGCGCGGGACGCGGAGGGATGGCTTGACTTTTCCCGTTAAACCATCACGAGCCATGGATGGGCGCGGGCGATGCGTCCCCCTAGTAAGAGAAAGACTACGATTCGAGACCCTCAGCGCCCTAGCGTGTCGCAGTAAGTGCGAGGTTGGCGGGCAGAGTGTGGGTGGGGGGGAGAGGGGGGTGACTGATGCAATCCGCCCCGAAAGGAGGAGGAGAGCCAGTGAAGCGCGCGCTGGGGCGGCCGCGCCACGCTTCCTGAAGGTCGCCAGCACCGCTGCCCTTTACTTCCCTCGGAAGCCTGGCTCGACACACCGAGCTCCCCTCCACCCCACCGCCGGCCCTCGCGGACGGAGGCCACGTTTTACCGGCCGAGGCAGCCAGACCTTGGCACAAAGGACAGCTCACAGCCGGTGGGAAAATCTGGAAGGGCGGACACTTTGACGTCTCTCCTTTTGACCCTTTTCCCTTTATTGCCCGAGGTAGGGTGATTTTCCTGACTCGGGAGAGCTGAGGGAGCAGCGCGGGAGGAAAGGGGTGTTGGAGATGTGCGAGGGGGACGCGGCACCGCGGAAGTCATCGGGGCGGGCCTGAAAAGAAGGGGTGCGCGGCTGTGCCCGATGCGTTCGGATTTTGCTTTTGGGAAAGGAAAAGTCCGGGTCCCCTGTTGTTCCGAATGCTCGCGGCAGCGTCGGGAGGCGCAGAGGCCCCTGTTTCACCTTCGCATTGGCTGTGGGTTACTTTTTGGTTCTGTTTTCGTAGTGGCAGCGTGAGGCACACGCTCTGGTTATATTTTATACAAGGATCAGATAGCGCGCGGGTCTGCGGGCAGAGCCCAGCGGACGACGTGAGGGCGCGACTGCCGACCCAAGGAGTGTCTGCATCCTGGACCTATGGGGTGGTTTCCTGCGTCCATAGGGCCCAGAGGGGAGCGTGTGATGCTCCTGGGGGTGTGCGTGCGGCCGGCTGGTTCTCGAGGACTGGCCGCGGAGCGCGAGCTGGCCGGGCACGTTTGCCGCCCCGTCTCAGTAACCGAGAGGAGGAGGCGGGTGCCGGGGGAGAGATTTCAAAAGGTCGCTGACAGTGACTCACTGTCCTTCCCGCTCTAAAGAGGTTCTTCTGAAAATCAAAAAAGGGAGAAAGAGCAAAGTGTTGTTATGAGAGCTGAGATCGCCGGAGCTGGCGAACAAAAGCCACCGCTTGCGCGGGGTCCGGGCTGGGACTGCCCTTGCCTCCCGCCCACCTCCTCCCCACAGCTCGGCACCTCGCTCGCGTCCCCCTACATTGTCACAAATGGCCTTTAAACTGGCCGCGTGGATGCGGCGCTAGTGTGCGTCTCACGGCGCTCTTCGCCGCATCCGCTTCCCAGAGCGTCGAGCCCCTCGGCACCCACGGGGACCCCGCACGATGCGGGGCTGCCTAGACGCTGCTTCCCTGCGGAATCTTTCGTCCATGTTTTGGGGGCAGAACTGTAGTCAGAGAAGGTGTAAGTGCCTATGGCGGCAAAAGGAATTTCGCGGTAACCGCGTCACAGCATTTCGGGTGCCTTTCACAGGCTGTCTTGGGCTGGGGAGGGTGGTGCTAAAATTAAAAGTCCTTTGTGTCTCGCTCTGCGGCGCAGACTCGGATTTTATCGCACTCTTTCTCCGGTGAAAACCGAACTGCCCCCAGGATCACGTACTCTCTCAGACGAATCCATGGTGAGTGTGTAGTAAGAGTGAAAAAAGACTCCAGAGCTGGGAAACGGTATTTATGGATTTGACATCTCTGCGGTGGGTTTAAAATTTTTTAATGTAAGGGGGAGGAGAGACTAAATCTATGGTTTGCAGGCTGCAGGGCCCAGCAAGGCTGTAATTTGTCACTTTGATGGAAGAAACTGTGCAGCAACTCGTGCTTTTTCTGACGTCAGCAAGAGAATGGAAAGAAAACCTGATCTAGGTGTCCGGCTGCCCTCATTGTTAAATATCTCACGCAGGGTCGGGACCCCTGAAACCCAGTCAAGTCGGGGCACAGATGTCTGGTGGGCCCCCTGGATTTTGGTCCAGCCCCAACCTCAAATGGCTTTACTCTTAGGTCACTTCAGCTCTCCGTGTGTCACCTGAAGCATCTGGATACCTGCCTAATTTGATTTGAGCTCTTAACCTTCATGAGGTTTATTCATTTAAAAAAAAATTTTTTTTAACATATTCACTAAATATTTCGTATTTGAGGACTTACTTTGTGGCAGGCAGCAACTAACAAGATGCACTTCCAGCTTCTTGCAAGGCTTCTGTTCTCATGGGAGACAGGCAATAAATGCATATAAATGAACTTTAGATATTTATTAGTGCAATGAAGAAGTACAACAGGGTTGTTTGGTGGGAGAGGGTGCTTGAGGTAATTGACCCTCTGGGAGTGCCTGTGTGAGAGGGTGACGATTGTCCTGAGACTAGGAGGCCAGGCATCAGGCTATCACTAGTCTTGCCTTTTCCTCTCTTGGGATGGTACATACTTGAAAGGAAAACCTATCATACTCATCATTGTTCCCCTAATATCCAGCAGATTAGCTGCTTAATGAAATGCCCACTGGATTGAGATCTTGGCCAAGCTCCATCTCATTCACTTTATGTTGTTGTTGACCATCCTTTCCTTTCTACATCTCATTATTTGTCCCCCTTCTCCGAAGTTGAGACATCACTCCTTTTCTCCTCTGCTTCTCTCTCTTCCCGTGTCCTCACTTCTGAGCAATTACAAGGCCCTTGCAAATGCCCCTCAAAGTCATCTTTTCATCCCCAGTCCCACTGTCCAATTTCAAGTCCCTGTCACCTGACCTACATATGGCAATTCTAGTAGAGTGTGGAATACAAGAATCATGAAACAGACATGGAGATGCCCTGAAGAAACACGCGGTTAGAGTGAAGCAGCTAACTGAGGAGGCGTAGCTGCTTTCTAGTTCTGGTCTCCTCCATACCAACCACCCCTGATTGAACCTTGACACTTCCATAAGATCTATATTTTTAAAAGTCAGTTTGCATTTTTTTAAATGAACTTGCTTCTAAAAACCTTCAATGGGTTTAGAAGCAAGTTCATTAAACTATAAATTCCTTAACCAGGCCCTGGCTGGTGTAGCTCAGTTGGAGTGTCATCCCATAACCTAAGGGTGTGGGTTTGATTCCCGGTCAGGGCACAATACCTAGGTTGTGGGTTCGGTCCCAGGTCCAGTTGTGTGTGAGAGACACTGATTGATGGTTTGATGCTTCTCTCTTCCATCGATAACTCTTTGTCTCTAAAAATACTGAAAAAAATGTCCTCTGGTGAGGATAAAAAAAAAAAAATCCTTAACCAGGCACTCAGGACCCTCCACAAACTGACTCCTCACCTCTCTCCATCTCTTTGTCCCAGTTGCCCCATCCCCTCCCTGTCACTTTTCTGACTTAATATGTGTTGATTCCACACTGGAATGCCTACTGAAATTCTACGTGTCCGTGAAGGCCTAGCCCAAATGCCAGTTTTCTACCTCTTTGAATAAATGTTCACCTCCCAGCGTTGTCACAAATATTGTTTACCTTTTGCCGATTGTACTGTTGTCACTCCAGGTGATGGAAGGTGGTGGATAAGGCCACTGGCTTTGAGTCAAATGTAAATACAGTCAGCCCTTGGTGTCTGAGGGTTCTGTATCCCTGGATTCAACCAACCACGGATCAAAAATATTTTTTAAAAAATGTTGTGTTGTTGCTGACCTGTACTATATAGTTAGGCCGACCATGGTTGCATCTGTGCTGAATATGTACAGACTTTTTTCCTTGTCATTTCTAAACAATACAGTATAACAACTGTTTACATATCACTTACATTGTTTTAAGTATTATAAGTAATCTAAAGAGGATTTAAAGTACACGGGGAAAATGTGCTTAGGCTATGTACAAATACTACACCATTATATTGGGTTGGCCAAAAAGGCTGTTGTGTTTTTTTCCATAAAATAAAAGACCTTTTTCATTTTTGCCAATAAATTTTATTGATTTGGTTATTTTGAGTATGTTGGCTATCTTCTGTTATTAGCTTCTAGTGGGAGAGGCCAGGGGTGCTGCTAAATGTCTTCCAATGCATAAGATAGCCCACAGCAAAGAATTATTTGGCCAAAATGTCAATAGTATCAAGAAACTTCACAAACCACTTTTGACATGTTCGATCAGTCATAGCATCTTCTCCATATACTGCACAAATCTTTTTTTGCATTTCGGTGGCGTTTTTACCTTTCTTGAAATTATTAATAAAGCATAATACACCAAAAATGTGTCTTTTCTTCCATATTCCATATTAAAATGGCTACACAAAAATCCACCAATTTTCATAAGTTTTATTAAAATGCATGCTGATATGATGATAGCTGTCACAATACAATCTAGCAAAATTGTTTTGAATGAAGTTAAAGACAGCTAAGCACTACTACAGCCATCATACAGAAAAAAAAAAATATAAAGGACTTTTTGGCCAATCCAATACATAAGGGGCTTGAGCTTCCTTGGATTTTAGTATCTGCATGGGTCCTGGAACCATTCCTCCTAGGATACCAAGGGATGGCTGTATTGGGACTCAATTTACCAGCCTAGGGAGGTTGAGTAAGTTGTTTAGCATTTCTAAACCTCAGGGTTTTCTTTTTGTTTGTTTGTTTTTTTGGTTTTTTGTTTAATAGGAATAATGATGGTGGTGGTGGTGGTGGCGGAGGTAGTGGAACGCATCTTACTGAGTTATCCTGACGATTTAATTAAGATAATGGATATGAAGTGCTTGGCATGGGCTCTATATATATAGAATTAAAAGGAACTTCAGGTTTCTCATGTACCATAGGGAGTGGGGAAAGTTGATCAGTCAGGTTCTCCTTATCTCTTATATTCTATGACTAATCATTTAAAAATACTTTTCTGAAAGTAATATCTTGATGGAAACTACCTGAATCTTTTCAGTCTCTGGGAGCATATGCATCTGTGAAAGGTGGTGTGGGGGCGGGGGAAGTATGTGTGAGGAAGTAAGCTCGCTCAAAACAAGTTTGTAACTTCAGAAAAACACACCTTTTAACGCGGATCCTAAACTGAGTCATTGTTATACTTGTTTCTAAAATTTAATCACATTACATTAATTGGTTTTCTAGTTACC